GCGCTCGCGCCACAAACCGTGCAATCGCGCCAAGCGCGCGCCGGCAGCTGCGGCTGGCGCCGGCGCTGGCGCTGGCGCAATCGCCTGTGCCTCTTCCCTGCGGCGCGCCGTCGCATGGCCCGCTGTGCGGCGCGGACCTAATGTGAGCCCCTGACTACGCCAGCCCGCCAAGCCGTGGCCGCGCCTCTGAATGCCCTTCCTGCTCCGTCCACAACCCGTTGCAAGGGTCGCCCCGCCTTGGGCGCCAATTTTGCCTCTCTTGCACTGCCGTGCCATGCCAACGCCTTCGGATCGTGCATTGCCTAAAATCGCGCCGGCCCCAGGGGGCCCGGCGAGGGCCGCGGGCCCCGGGCTCGGGCCCGCCTTGGCGCCACGCCACCTTGTCGCGTCGGCACGAATAGCAGCGGCACCGCCCCCCGTTCCCCTCCCCTCGCCGGGCCCGCCTTGCACTCGCACTCGAACAATAGTGACCATGGGTGCTCAATGCTTATAAGGGGCCCTTTGACAGGCAAGTGGTGCCGCGACCGGGCCCCGAAGAAAATTGCGCAGCCCGCCAACGTCCCCCCGCCACCCTGGGCGGCGGGCGGGATGCGCCCTCCCCTGGAGGTCGCGGCCCGGCCCGCGGCGGCTGCAACCCTCATGTGACGCGGGCGCTGTTTGGTGGTATGGGATCCGACGCGTCTACCGGCAAGGCCCGGCGGCGATTCGTGCAGCTCCGACATTTGGGGTCGATGGAGAATCATTTCTAAACTGCCGGCTGGGCCCCGTCGCACGCGGCCGCGCCGCTCGCAGCGCAGCGCCGCGGCGAGCGGCGCGCGGCGCGGGCGGGCGGGCGGGCGGGCCCCAAAGAGGGGCCCCTCCCCTCTCCCCCCATTCCTTTATGCTTTTGGCGCCATCGCTCCGCGCCCCGACCGGGGCCGCTGCGTGAGCGTCTGTACGGTGGCGGCGGGCGCGGGCGGTCACGGCCATCAGGGCCGCCCGCTGCCTGGCTTGCTCCGCAATCCGCTTTGTCTGGGCCCCCGCGCCCATTCGTCCTGCCAACCTCTTCCGGCGGGTCGCCGCCGCCCGGCGCCCCGCGCCGCGGGCACCCGTCCCCCTGCCGCGCTCCGGGCAAGCCATGGGGGGCACCGGCGGGGGCCGACGATCCCGTTATGTCGTAAGCCGCGGCTCGCGGCACCCCTCTGCCGCCGCGTGGCATCATCTGTACCGCTTTTCGCCCCAATACACCTGGCTTTTGGCTGCCCGTGGATCCCTTCCCTATGCCTCTGTCACTGCTTTGGGGGCCTCGCGCCAGTCGCGCAGACCCCCACTGCTCAGCACTTGCGGCCGCCCGCCCCCTGTCTCCGGGCCTGCGGTCTTGGCTTTGATCTGATGCCCCCTTGGCCCTGGCCCCGATTACCAACAAACCTGAACACATTGTAATAACTGCTATCGGCCAAATTGTGCGATACAAACAACTGCAAACGGCCAGATCGTGACATGCCAGTGACTGCAAGCGGCCAGATCGTGAGATACCAAGGGGTGCCGGGTGCTGCACGGCCGCACACACATGCGGCACAGGCAAGTAGCTTGTGCGTTGTTCCAAGGGGGTATTGCCAGTGCACCGCTCCACACTCACTGCACCCTGGCATACTGGGGCACTGCTCGGAGCTGGGATGGGCCGTGCACTGGGTTGACGCGACGCGTGGCCTCGGGCAGATGCTGCGCTGTGGTGCTTCGCAATTTGTAGCTCATGGCTGGCAGCAGGATGCTCCCATCTTCATTTTTACCCGGCAGGAGGGCGCATCTCTGACAGCATCCCAAGGAAACGGGGCACCCACAAAGGCAAACCGCAGGTGCTGCTCCGCTATCGGCCCCAACACACCGGGGCGAGAGTGAAGCATTCGATGCAAGGGGGAGCATTACAATGGCATGCGCCTGCCCGACGTCGCGCGGGCCAGGTGATCTGGGCCCCCTGCGGCGGCAGGGCGAAGCTGGCCACGGCCGCGGTCACTACTCATCGGCACCTTGCTGACGTCATCGTGACGTAATCGTGACGCCCACGGCCGCCGCACGGCAACCTTCGAATCGCACGCGCCCCGCCCGCCGCCCCGACCCGCCCTCGGGCCCCCGCCCCTCAAGGGGGCCTAAGAGCTCCCCGCCCGCCTGATGTCCCCACGCCTCATGTCCCCACCACGCCCCCTGCCGCCCCGCGAGGCGGCCGCGCGGCGCTGGCGCCGCGGCGCGTCAGAGGGATCCCTCTTTGAGCAGCTGCTGCACGTCCACGCCCGACGCCGTGAGCGCAAACAGAATGGTCAGCACCGTGCTGTTCCAGACGCCGTGCACGATCATGGGCGTCAGCAAATTGCGGCTGCGCACGTACAGCGCGCCCAGCAGGCAGCCGAGGGCGATTAGCACGGGCAGGTCCTTCAGGCTGAGGTGGGCCACGCCGAAGGCGACGCTGCTGGCGAAGATCGCGGCGGGGGTGGACATGAATGATGAGAGGGAGGTCAGGAGGAAGCCGCGGAAAAGGGTCTCCTCGAGGAGGGGGGCGAGGACGCCTGGGGGGGGGGGGTGGGGGG